TTGCCTCCAACCAGACCAGAAAGGGTGGCAGCAGAATTCCGGAGGGTCCCTCAGGCAGTGAGACCACCAGAGTTGCACCAATGAGGGGCACAGACTCATTTCCCCCCACCAAATAAGGGCCGAGGCGATCCCCCACCCCCACCTTGGCTTCCATGTCTAGGAGAGTTCACAAAGCCCCTTCCCCGTCTCTTCCACGCTCTCCTTCCTCTGCAGCTCACTCCTTCACGGCTGTCCTTTTTGCTGCATGGGGAAGGGACGCCCATGACCGTGGTTCTGGAATAAAGGCCATCTAAATTCTTTTCATATATTCGGCTGAGTTATTGTTTCCTTGGTGGTCGGCGAATCTAACATTTTGGCGTGCAGCGAATCCAACACTGGAGAAACTGAACTTTCAGAGACAACTTCCATGGAGTTTGCACAACGCAGCTACCAGACTTGAGAGTAAAAAAAAAATCTCATTTCCCTCCTCCCCTGATACCTTCGCTTAGGGGAATCAACTGTGTATATGGAGCTCGCAAATGCGTCACGTGCGGAAAGTCGACCCCTCCAACCCCCACACCCACCCCCGCAAGGACTTGGTCAGAGTGGAAACCCGCTGCCCACACCACCAATTTCATGTCCACGTCTCACAAGTTGATCGAGTTTCCCACCAGTTTCCTGAAAACACACCCCCGGCCGGAAGTGACCTGCCATGGAGAACACCCTCTCTCCCCATTGCTGGACACACACCCTGCCCCCCCCCCCGGGGGAAGGGCCATCTTCCAGGATGGCGCAGTGAGTCTAGGGGCGCGGAGCACGTGGGCCCAGGACACTAAAGCCATCGCCCTGTGGGACACGCGGGAGTCTTGGCGTGAGACCCCGGCCCACGGCAGGTGGTAGTGTCCCCGGGTCAGGGCGCGGGGCTTGGCCGGGACCCATAGGGGAGCAGGCACACCCGAAGCTCCGCCGGCCCGCCTGCTCCAGCGACCCCCGCCCCTTGGGGCGCAGCCCGCGCCCACCCGGCCCCGCCTCCAGGCGCCGGCCCGCCCACCCCGCCCCGCGAGTTTCTGGGAGAACCCAGCGCGCCCGGGCCCGGCGCCCAGCTGCCGCGTTTAAAAACCCCACACTGCTCCCCGCGCCGCACTCCCGCCACCGGCTGACCTGGCTCCGGGAAGCCCCCGCAGCAGCGACGCAGCAGCTGCGCCAAGATCACCGCTGCTCCCGCCGCGTAGACCCGCAGGGCGGCCAGCGCCACGGACAACAGCGACATGGCGGCCCCGACCCCGCCGCTTCCGCGCCACCCGCCCGCCTGCTAGCAGGACTTGGCGCTGCGCCACCGGAAGGCCCGACGCGCCGCCCCCGGCCCGCCCCCGCGCCCGCGCGACCCCAGCCACGGCCTGCAGAAGCCCGCCACGGTCCGCGGCGCCCCTGCCCACTGCCCCGCCTGGCCCTCCGCCCTGAGTGCAGACCCGGCCTGGGCCGTGGACCGCACCCCCGCTGGGACCGTTCCCGAATTGCAGACCTTACACACACACCTGCAGTCTGACCATATGGCACCATCTCTGGTACCTGGACACACACCCAGACCCCTGCCAGGACCAGAGATGCCTTGTCCACCTGCCTGGCAAGACCCAGGTCCCCCACACCTTCTCCCAGGACCAAGACCCCAGCCATCTCGTCTCCCAGGAGAAACTGTACACGACTCCCCCACAGAGGCTTCCCTGAACTTAAGCTCTTTGTCAGGACCGTGGACCCCCACCCAAACCCACTCCACTGTGAGACCCCTCTGCTGCAGCTCTCAGCACCCACTTACAGCCCCTGCTGCGGATCTTCACAGACACCCACCCGCTGATATCAGCCTCTCCCACAACCAGCACCCTCAGGACTTCCCCCCTGACCTTGCCAGGATCCATAACGCTGTCCCAGTGCAGATCCACCCACGCGGGGGCGTTGATACCCTGTGGAACCCTAGCCTCTCTGGAACCGTGGCCTCCACCGCTGCTGCTGGGGGGAACCTATTGCAGGGGAGACTATACTATGGGTCGGTCCTGTTTGAGCTCAGGTGCGCACACCCAGGTTCAGGTGCGCACACCCAGGTTCAGGTGAGCACACTCAGTTTCAGGTGAGCACACCCAGGTTCAGGTGCGCACACCCAGGTTCAGGTGAGCACACTCAGTTTCAGGTGAGCACACCCAGGTTCAGGTGCGCACACCCAGGTTCAGGTGCGCACACCCAGGTTCAGGTGCACACACCCAGGTTCAGGTGAGCCTGCCCCCACCGCCCAAGCCCGCGGGTGCAATTCAGAAGCACCTGGCACTACAGTGACTGTCATTGAAGGTGTAATAGAAGCTGAAAATCTCACAGTTCTGCAGCCTTGTGGGGGTGGGGGGGGGGGGAGTGCTGGGAGCTGAGTGCACCCAGAAATTTGGGGCTGGCAATGTGAAGCACCTACTTCGGCCTCGGTTGGCAACCCACATCAGAGCACTGATTTGATTCCTGGCTGCCCTTTTTCCGACCCACCACTTGGAAATCAGTAGATCTCGTCTCAAGTGCTTGGGTCCCAGCTGCACATGCTGGCGTTTAAATGGAGTTCTTGGCTCAAGGCGTCAGCCTGGCATGGTCTGGGATGTTGGGGACCATTTGGGAAGGGAACCAGAAGATGGATGTCTTAGTCTCTCTCTCTCCCCACCTCCGTACCACTGTCTTTCAGATGAATACACTTATTGGACAGATTTTCGATTTGCCATTTTATTCCCCACATGGCTCCAACAGCTGTGGCTGGGACAGGCCAAAGGCAGAAGCCAGGAGCTTCAGCTACTTCCTCCTCTCTGACATGGCGGTAGAGGCTCAAGCACTTTGGCCGCCCTCTGTCTCTTCCCAGGCCTTTAGCAGGGAGCTGTATCAGAAGTGGAACAGCTGGGACTTGGACCTGTTCATCACCCCAGGTGCCGTATACTATACCCAGAGGCTATCCTCCATGGGCTGTGAGTTATTATTTTTAACTTAAAAAGTTTTATCTATTTTTCTTGGGAAGGATGACTTAGAGAGAGGAGAGTGCTGGTTCACTCCCAAAATGGGGACAAAAGATAGAGCTGAGCTGATCTGAAACCAGGTGCCAGGAACCTCGAGCCTCCTCCAGGTCTCCCACATCGGTGCAGGGTCCCAAGGCTGTGGACCATCCTTGGCTATTTTCCCAGGCCACCATCAGGGCACTGAATGGGAAGTGGAGCAGTTGTGACAACAAACTGCTGCCCAAATGGGATTCTGGGTAAGCAAGGCAAGGATTTAGCCACTGGGCCCCCACACAGTGCCCAGGCTGTTAGTTACTGCCAGGAGGCCCTGGTTGAGCCTATATATGCCATTTAACAAAGCAAGGTTCTTGATGTCACTGGATGTGCACCATGGGACTGACATAATGGAAAGTCTGATCAGGGCCTGAGGGCTCCGCCATGCACCCTTGCCTGTCCTGTGAAAAGGATAAAAGAAGGAAGCAGTTTTACGGGTGCTGCTGCAAAGCATGGTTTCCAGGCTGCATGTGTCGCTTTGCTCACTTACATCACATTCTTCTTGCTGGTTTTGCATTTGTATGGATATTGAAGAGCCAGAGTGGGGCAGAGTGACATGCAGCTTCCATCCAGAAGAAGATCTGGCTCCGTGCAATGCACCTGGGAAAGCAGCAGATGGCCCAAGTGCTTGGAACAATGCACCAACGTGGGAGGCCCACATCGAGGTCCTGCATGCTGGGTTCAGCCCCTGCCTTGGTGAGGTTGTCTGCAGATGGGAATTCTACTTGTCATCCTGAGAACATGCGAAGGGGATCAGCTGTCACTTAAGCACTCAGCTCCCAGCACTCCCCCCCCACGCCCCCACAAGGCTGCAGAACTGTGAGATTTTCAGCTTCTATTACACCTTCAATGACAGTCACTGTAGTGCCAGGTGCTTCTGAATTGCACCCGCGGGCTTGGGCGGTGGGGGCAGGCTCACCTGAACCTGGGTGTGTGCACCTGAACCTGGGTGTGTGCACCTGAACCTGGGTGTGCGCACCTGAACCTGGGTGTGCTCACCTGAAACTGAGTGTGCTCACCTGAACCTGGGTGTGCTCACCTGAACCTGGGTGTGCGCACCTGAACCTGGGTGTGCTCACCTGAACCTGAGTGTGCTCACCTGAACCTGGGTGTGCGCACCTGAACCTGGGTGTGCGCACCTGAGCTCAAACAGGACCGACCCATAGTATAGTCTCCCCTGCAATAGGTTCCCCCCAGCAGCAGCGGTGGAGGCCACGGTTCCAGAGAGGCTAGGGTTCCACAGGGTATCAACGCCCCCGCGTGGGTGGATCTGCACTGGGACAGCGTTATGGATCCTGGCAAGGTCAGGGGGGAAGTCCTGAGGGTGCTGGTTGTGGGAGAGGCTGATATCAGCGGGTGGGTGTCTGTGAAGATCCGCAGCAGGGGCTGTAAGTGGGTGCTGAGAGCTGCAGCAGAGGGGTCTCACAGTGGAGTGGGTTTGGGTGGGGGTCCACGGTCCTGACAAAGAGCTTAAGTTCAGGGAAGCCTCTGTGGGGGAGTCGTGTACAGTTTCTCCTGGGAGACGAGATGGCTGGGGTCTTGGTCCTGGGAGAAGGTGTGGGGGACCTGGGTCTTGCCAGGCAGGTGGACAAGGCATCTCTGGTCCTGGCAGGGGTCTGGGTGTGTGTCCAGGTACCAGAGATGGTGCCATATGGTCAGACTGCAGGTGTGTGTGTAAGGTCTGCAATTCGGGAACGGTCCCAGCGGGGGTGCGGTCCACGGCCCAGGCCGGGTCTGCACTCAGGGCGGAGGGCCAGGCGGGGCAGTGGGCAGGGGCGCCGCGGACCGTGGCGGGCTTCTGCAGGCCGTGGCTGGGGTCGCGCGGGCGCGGGGGCGGGCCGGGGGCGGCGCGTCGGGCCTTCCGGTGGCGCAGCGCCAAGTCCTGCTAGCAGGCGGGCGGGTGGCGCGGAAGCGGCGGGGTCGGGGCCGCCATGTCGCTGTTGTCCGTGGCGCTGGCCGCCCTGCGGGTCTACGCGGCGGGAGCAGCGGTGATCTTGGCGCAGCTGCTGCGTCGCTGCTGCGGGGGCTTCCCGGAGCCAGGTCAGCCGGTGGCGGGAGTGCGGCGCGGGGAGCAGTGTGGGGTTTTTAAACGCGGCAGCTGGGCGCCGGGCCCGGGCGCGCTGGGTTCTCCCAGAAACTCGCGGGGCGGGGTGGGCGGGCCGGCGCCTGGAGGCGGGGCCGGGTGGGCGCGGGCTGCGCCCCAAGGGGCGGGGGTCGCTGGAGCAGGCGGGCCGGCGGAGCTTCGGGTGTGCCTGCTCCCCTATGGGTCCCGGCCAAGCCCCGCGCCCTGACCCGGGGACACTACCACCTGCCGTGGGCCGGGGTCTCACGCCAAGACTCCCGCGTGTCCCACAGGGCGATGGCTTTAGTGTCCTGGGCCCACGTGCTCCGCGCCCCTAGACTCACTGCGCCATCCTGGAAGATGGCCCTTCCCCCGGGGGGGGGGGCAGGGTGTGTGTCCAGCAATGGGGAGAGAGGGTGTTCTCCATGGCAGGTCACTTCCGGCCGGGGGTGTGTTTTCAGGAAACTGGTGGGAAACTCGATCAACTTGTGAGACGTGGACATGAAATTGGTGGTGTGGGCAGCGGGTTTCCACTCTGACCAAGTCCTTGCGGGGGTGGGTGTGGGGGTTGGAGGGGTCGACTTTCCGCACGTGACGCATTTGCGAGCTCCATATACACAGTTGATTCCCCTAAGCGAAGGTATCAGGGGAGGAGGGAAATGAGATTTTTTTTTTACTCTCAAGTCTGGTAGCTGCGTTGTGCAAACTCCATGGAAGTTGTCTCTGAAAGTTCAGTTTCTCCAGTGTTGGATTCGCTGCACGCCAAAATGTTAGATTCGCCGACCACCAAGGAAACAATAACTCAGCCGAATATATGAAAAGAATTTAGATGGCCTTTATTCCAGAACCACGGTCATGGGCGTCCCTTCCCCATGCAGCAAAAAGGACAGCCGTGAAGGAGTGAGCTGCAGAGGAAGGAGAGCGTGGAAGAGACGGGGAAGGGGCTTTGTGAACTCTCCTAGACATGGAAGCCAAGGTGGGGGTGGGGGATCGCCTCGGCCCTTATTTGGTGGGGGGAAATGAGTCTGTGCCCCTCATTGGTGCAACTCTGGTGGTCTCACTGCCTGAGGGACCCTCCGGAATTCTGCTGCCACCCTTTCTGGTCTGGTTGGAGGCAAACTCCGCCCTTCTCTGGTTACCATAGTAGCCACCATCTGGGTGCAAAAGAAGTTGGAAATCTGGTCTAGGGAAGACTCTTCCACAGGGCTCGTGAATGGATCTGCGTGCCCCCTAATTTTTTTGCACCCAAACTAAACCTACCTTGTAACTGTTTCCCACCAGCTCTTTAAACCACTCTGTCTGCAGTGGCAGCTTCAGGAAAACAGCCCCACGCGCCCCTCTGGAAAGCTTTGTGGTGCTCAGGGCAGTGATCCCTCCAGGGAGGTGGTTTGTTTTGGAGGCAAACCCATTGGATGTGTGTCTCTTTATGCACCGTGGGTGCCTGAGCTCTGTGGACCACTGCTTGGTGGTTCCTTCCACGTATGGCTTAAAAAGTAAAAGCTAGAAAAACCAGCACCTGCTGACGCCATAGGTCGTAGGAGGCCCATGTCTATGATTCCTGGGATTGGAAAATTGCAATGTTGGATGTCAGAAGCTAATGACAAATGACTGGCGATGCCATAATTGGTGGCGGTGGACCAGCAAGCAAAGAGGTTGTGTGAGGGACAGTGTTTGACATGGCTCTTTTTCTTAAGACTATAACCCCGTGAGCAGATGGTGTGGTGTGTCTTCTGGTCAGATTGCACGAAAGCACAAGCATGCTTTTGGAAGTTTGTGGGAGGAAACAATGGAAGGAAAAGGCAAGTTAATTTTGATGTGAAAAATTGTGAAGAGATAAGCTCGTTTGAACGTAAACTCGTATACATGTGAGACCTGGAAATGGATATGGTGAAAAAATATCCTGGCCAGGAGCCAGGAACCTCTTCCGGGTCTCCCCTATGGGTGCAGGGTCCCAAGGCCTTGGGCCGTGCTCGACTGCTTTCCCAGGCCACAAGCAGGGAGCTGGATGGGAAGTGGGGCAGCCGGGACAGGAACCAGCACCCATGTGGGATGCCTGCGCCTGGAGGTGGAGGATGAGTCAGTTTAGCCAGTGTGCTGGCCATGACAATGAGTTTTTTTTTTTTTAAAAAAACCCCAGTCTTCTGCTTCATTCCATTTTTTAACCACAAGCCTGTCCTTTTGTTAAAGTGACTGATTTTTATTGATTTTCATTTTTATGTAATAGAGAGAATGTTCCATCTTGTGATTCAATCCTTAAAGACCTGCTACATCCAGGGCTGTTCCAGGCCATAACAAGAGCCTGGAACTGTCTCCACATCTCCCGCATGTGTGTGGGTGGCAGGGGCCCAAGTCTTTGAGTCCTCCTCTGCTACCTCCCAGGTGCACAATGGCAGGGAGCAGAATCAGAAGCAACGTTGAGACTCAAGCCCAGACCCTTGGGATCTAGGAAGTGGGAATCACAGTCCGGGTCTCACTCACTGTGCCAAACACCTACCCTGTCTATGATGTTTCCGTGGAAAAGTGCTATTATCCAAAACTTCATAATGTTTGGGATAAGCCATGGTTTAGGGTTTGAGCTCAGCCCCTTTCGGTGACCACCGAGTTGAAGGGAGCTGGGCTCTCCACACTGCGTCTTCTTTCTTCTGTGTTGTAATCCATTGTTTTGCTCAAAATCCTGTGGCTCACTGCACAGATGCAGAATTGGACCACACAGGACCTTGTGTGACACCTGAGAGGACACTGGGACTGCCCCTTTGGAATGTCCGGAGGAGAACTGCTTTGCAGTGACACCCGGGGCTCTGTGCTGTGCAGATGGAAATGCTTCAGGAAACAGGGCCGCCTCCAGTCAGTGATGGTTAATGATGGGTTAGGAAACTTTGTTCTAGGGGATGACAACTCTTTCTGCCCAAATAATCATAGTGGTGATAATGCTGTTTGAATGTAAATCCATCTTCCAGGAACTGACAACTAACACCGTACTGATAATTGATTATTCCACCTCTGCTGACATAATCACGACGGACACAATTAATGGCAGTAATCATACTAGACTATAGAGAACCTTGTTCCAGATGCCAGAACCTCTTTCAGGGAACGTATATGATGGTGGTGGTGGTGATGATGCAGGGAGTGGTGACAGTGGTAACGGTGATGATGTCATATGAGGTGAGAGTAATATTGGTTGTGGTGGCGTCTGATGGGGTGATGGTAGCGTGGGTGATGCCAATAGCGATGATCATGGTGACAGGGTAAGCTTTCATAGGACTGATGGTCACCATCACCCCTTCATGGGGATCCCATGGTGATGCTGATGCTGATGGTGGTGGTGACAGTAAGATAGGAAGGTCTCAGGGTGCTAAACCATGTCATTCGGGTAGCACTTAAAAGGCCGTATGCTTGGTCCTAAAGTCCCAGTTGGTGTATGGGGTTCTGTCTTCTGAGCGTAGTGAAATCATGGCACCAGAGAGAACGCTAGAGTGTCTCAAAGGGATTAGAGCCTTTGTCCCACCTCTGGGAAGCCAGTTCACCGGGATCCAGGAGCGCTCGAGAACCTGGTCCATGGTGGCATCTCCCTAAAAAGCAACCTCTGGGGGGCCTTGGCTGGCAGAAAGCCCGCATGCCGCCGTGATGCAGTGATCTGTGAGGAAGTCTTGGTCTATGGCAATGTGGACATCACCTAACACCTTTTATCCTCTCACCTTCACTGTGGGAGTTTCCTTGGAGGTTGGTTCACCCTCTAAATGCCCACTTCAGCCAGAACTGGGCCATTCCAAAGCTGGGAGCTAGGAGCCTCTTCCAGGTTTCCCATGTGAGTGCAAGGTTTCATGGATTTGAGCCATGTTCCCCTGCTTCCTCAGTTACATCAGCAGGAAACTGGATTGGATATGGAGCAGCTGGGACTTGAACTGGCGCCCTTGTGGGGTGCTAGCACCACCAGCAGAGGCTTAGCCTGTCATACCACAACGCTGGTCCCCAAGATGCCAGAGTTGGAAGTGAGGGTGTTATTAGCCTGTGTTTCCTGCAGAGACCCCAGGATAGGTTCCTGTATCCTAGGTTCCTTCTGCTGATGACATCTGGTGCACACTATTCCTGCTAAAGGTCTCATTCTCCTTGGCTTCAGATCCCATCCTTCATTGCATTTTCAAAGAACTTGTTCCTGAATGACGTACAGCTCCCAGAAATCTGGTAGGAATGATAATGGCCATCAGTGAAATAAGTTGTGGTAGGCCGTGAACAAACAAAACCCAATAATCAGAAAGTGGGAATGGTGAGAATCAAGATGGTGGGATAGGGTGAGGGCACCTTTAAACGGACAGAAAGTGGGAATGTGTGTTACTGAATGTTGGGAATCGAAAGCCTGTCAATGTCACTGCAAGTTTTAAAAGTTTTTTTTTTTTATTGCAAGGTCAGATACACAGAGAGGAGGAGAGATAGAGAGGAAGCTCTTCCGTGGCCAGAGCTGAGCCAATCCGAAGCCAGGAGCCTCTTCCTGGACTCCACATGGGTGCAGGGTCCCAAAGCCTTGGGCTGTCCTTGACTGCTTTCCCGGGCCGCAAGCAGGGAGCTGGATGGGCAGCAGGGCCACCGGGATTAGAACTGGCGCCCATATGGGATCTCGACGCATGCAAGGTGAGGACTTTAGCTGCTGAGCTACCACGCCAGGCCCATGTCACTGCAATTTTTAGAATGCCCAGCTGGCCCTGCGGCTTCTCGGTCCCAGTCCAACATGGTAGCTTAGAGTTCTGGAACATTTGAGCCATCAAGCTGCAGCAGGAACCGTAGGCAGACCGCCCTCTGGGCCATTCACATCTCTGTAACCAAAATGCTGATAATGTCACACAAGGCCATGTGGCGATGCCACATGCCGATGGGCATGGCAGAGGTGCCACTGTGCCCTTGGTTGGGACCACATTTAGGGAAAGTGCGTGCACTGGCAAAGCCACAGTTCTTCCCACGTGTCCACAGCTCACACGTGCGCATGTGTGAAACCTGCAACGTGCAATGCTTGAGGCAGGTGTGCCTTTAAACGTGCTTTTTGCATGCCACATTGGTGCCTCTTAGCCAAATGTGCAGCCTCTGTAGCCACGCCCAGGGCTGCTTTTGCTCCATGGATGTGCTGAATTTGTCAAAAGCAGCAGTGGCACTGGGTGCAGCTTCTTGCTCTCGCCAGCTCTGAGAGTGAGCCACAGTGATGGTGAGGGGTCCCCCGGGATGCTCTGAGGTGCAAGCAGTCTCCCCTGAAGCGGGACCGGCCCGGCTCTCCCACAGTTTCCCACATGTGCCTTGGTGCCTTCTCACACTGTGTTTATCTCGCTGCTTCCTAGCAGGTGGTCACCAATGAAGGGATTGTGGTCCAGGCGGCAGGCCCTGGCCAAAGGCGCCATGGAGAGCAAAGCTCCGGAAGGTTCCCAGGCGGACCTGAAGCTGGTGGCCCATCCCCGCGCCAAGAGCAAGGTGTGGAAATACTTTGGCTTTGACGCTGACGCCGATGGATGCATCTTGCAGTGGAAGAAGATTTCCTGTCGGATCTGCATGGCCCAGATCGCCTACTCGGGCAACACCTCCAATCTCTCCTACCACCTGGAGAAGAACCACCCCGAGGAGTTCTGTGAGTTGGTCAAGAGTAACACGGAACAGATGCGGGGGGCCTTTGCCACGGCCTTCTCCAAGCTCAAGCCAGACTCGTCCTCCCAGCAGCCACTCCCTCAGGACGGGCCCACGGCCAGCCTGGCCAGATACAGCCACGACAGCCCCAAGCAGCAGGAGCTGACGGCGGCCGTGGCCCGGCTCATCTCTGAGGGGCTCTACCCGGCCTCCATCGTGGACGAACCCAGCTTCCAGCTGCTCCTGCACACGGCCGACCCCAGGTACCAGCTGCCCAGCCGGAAGTACTTCACCACCCAGGCCCTGCCTGAGAGGTACAGTGCCATCCGGGAGGTCATCCTGGAGGAGGTGGCACGGGTGTCGTGGTGTGGCATCTGTGCAGATATGTGGCACAGCCCTAGCCAGAGTCGCACCTACGTCACCCTGGCGGTGCACTTCCTCCCCGTCAGCACCCCTCCAAGCTCCCTGTCGGTGAGGTCCTGGTGCTTAAAGACGTTCGAGATACCCCCAGAGGATGCAGCTGAAGCCATGACGAGGTCATTGTATGAAGCCTTTATTGAGTGGGGTCTTAGCAACAAGCTTTCGGGGGCCGCCACGGATCGTGGCCAGGATATCACGCAGGCCTGTGCGTTGCTGGACATCCCCGTGCATGTGCCGTGCCTGGGCCACGCCTTCCACGTGGCCATCCAGGCGGCCCTGCAGCTGCCCCGGCTGTCGGCACTGCTGGAGCGGTGCCGCAAGCTGTTGGACTACTTTGAGAAGGTGCCCGCCGCCGTGGGCATGCTGGTGGCCAAGCAGAAGCAGCTGGGCATGGCGGCTCAGCACCTGCTGGTCAGCGACCGTGTGGGTGGCTGGGGCCGCACGCTGGCCATGCTGCAGCGCCTGCTGGAGCAGCAGTTGGCCATCACGGGCGTGCTCGGGGAAGACAGCTGCTACCACCACCTGATGCTGGAGCCTGCCGAGTGGGCCACCCTGGAGGGGCTGGCTGAGTTGCTGCGGCCCTTTCAGCAAGTGGGTGCCACGCTGGCTGCCTCCCAGGTCCCCGCCATCAGCATGCTCAAGCCGCTGCTGCATATGCTGCAGAGCTCCACGCTGCGTGTCCAGGAGACGGACCTGAAGGAGTTGGGCATGGCCAAGGAGGTCATTGCCCAGGAGCTGGCCTGCGCGTACCAGGAGGTGCCCGAGGTGGACCAGTTCCTCAACGTGGCCAGCTTCCTGGACCCGCGCTACAAGCACCTGCCATTCCTGTCTGCCCCCGAGAGACAAGGCGTGGAGCTGCGCGTGGCACAGGAGCTCAGGGCGCTGCTGGACTCGGCCCACAATGTGGACTTGAGGCCACCACAGGGGGAGGAGGAAGAGGAGCCCCCGGGGAAGAAGAAGCCCCCCACACCGCCGCCACCGCCACCCCCCAGCCTCATGGTCCACAGCATGCTTGCTGAGATCTTCCACCCTGCAGGCGGCGAGGATGAGGAGCAGGAGTGGGAGGCCCACGTGCTGGAGGAGCTGAGCAACTTCAAGGCGCAGAAGCCCCTGGCGCTCAGTGGAGACCCCCTGCGCTGGTGGTCCGAGCGCCTCCTGCTCTTCCCTGTTCTGCACCGCGTGGTGCAGAAGTACTGGTGTGTGCCCGCCACGCGCATGCCCCCCGCGCGCCTCTTTGGCCCTGCGGCACAGCACACGGTGAGCACCAAGAGGAACTGGCTGACCCCCATGCACGTGGACCGCCAGGTGTTCCTCTATGAGAACGCACGCAGTGCCCAGGCTGGAGTTGAGGAGGACCAGGAAGACGAGGAAGCAGAGGGGAGAGTGGGCCAGGAGCATGTGTGGCAGCCGGCGGACATGGTGGACAGCGACTTCGGGGGTGGCACTGCTGGACAGTGGTGACTCACTGGGCCCTGGGGGTGACCCCCGAGGCCACCCACGGGGTTGGCAGCAGAGACAGGCAGAAGGAGGAACACCCCCTCCTCAAGACTCGGGTCTCCCCCTTGGGGGGGAAATAAAAGTTGTAGGTGCGATGTCTTTGGCTGTGTTGCTGGCAACCAATCGTCGTGTCTCCTGAGTTGAATTCCCCACCCCTGGGTCCCTCTGACTGGATGAGAGAGGTGCCAGTGTTCGGCTGGATCCCCGCCTTTTTCTGACCCCCTGCTCTTTCTGCTGCCTCTCCTTGGAGGAGGGAGGAGACAGGCTGGGATGAGAACTTCACCTTCTTTCCTGCCCCTGGCCACCTGACTGGATGAGAGGGATGCCTGTCTCCCTGACAACCCCACCTTCTTCCCTGCGTGTCCTGGGCTCTCCAGGGATGAGTGAGGCGCCATTCTGTGCTCTTAGCCCTGCCTTCTTCCCCGCCCCTCACCACCTCTGACTGGATTAGGGGTGGCAGTGTGTGAGAAGTATCCCACCTCCTTGCACCTCCCTCAGTCACTCAGAAGCACCCGGGGTTGGGCGGGAAATAGGTTCTCAGCCTTCAAAGGGGCAGCGTCCGTCCTAAGCTCCTGTTTTTTGGATCCCTTTGGTGCCCACCAGGTCTACTTTCCTCAAACTCGCACATTTTAGGGGGTAGGGCAGTGTTTGAAAATGAGCCTTTTCATTCTGCCTTTGTGCGGCTCCTCACTACGGAGAGGGTGTGTTTTGGGGTCTGATGAGGGGCCTGGTTCCCAACTCAGTCACAAGGGAGGCAGCTTATTGACATCAAAGTAGTTAACCTTGTGTTTTGTTTTTGTTTTGTTTCCCTTTTTAGTTGGGGTGGGGAGAGGAAGCATTGTCATCGTGACAGTTTTAGGAGAAGAAAGAATTTTGCAAGGTGAAGAATAATTTCCGGATTTCTCTGAAGAGGGCCTTTGATGTGGCTGCCGTGTCCCATATTGCAGTGTTGCGCTTCGGGTCCTCATCCCAGCTTCCTGTTTAAGCCCTTGGGAAGCCACAGGGGCTGATGGCTTAAGCCCTTGGGTCCCTGTCTCCCACAGGGGAGACCAGGGTGGGGTTCTCAGGCCCTAGCTTCAGGCTGGCCCAGTACCAACTGTTGCGGGAGTTTGGGGAGTGAACTAGCAGATGGGATATTCTGTATTTTTGTCTCCTAAGTGATTAAATGATTTAAAAAAGAAAAGGAAGATGAAGAAATTGAATTTGGGTCTGGTTTGAGAAGCCAGAGAAAACAATGAACTATATCTGCCCCCTCTGAGGTTCAGTGGGCCGGATTTCAGACCCGCCCGCCAGGCGCATGTTTGAGTGTGTGGGGAGGTGTGTTTGCCTTTTGATCACATTTTCCAGTCCTCGGTCACAGCTGGTTTTCTCTCTCTTGGGCACAACTGTCTCATTCCAAGTCCTTTCCAGGCCAGCAGGAAAAGGGGCAAAAGAAACACCTCTGGTGCTATGTGTGTACTGGGGAGGAGGGAGAGGATTGAGACGTACGTGGTCGAGGGGCTCGTGGCAGCCAGGAGATGGAGTATGTTTGGGATATGCTGAACTCACATTTGTGCTCAAGAATGATGTGTGCAACACAGCGTATTCCCATGCATTTTCTTGAAACGGAGACTGGGAAACGGGACTTGGGCTGTCACTGGCTGCTTTCCCAAGTGCGTTATCAGGGCCCTGGATCAGAAGTGTGGCAGCTAGGACTCCAACCAGTGCCCGTAGGGGACGTTGGCCTCACAGGCCATGGCTTCACCTGCTGTGCTGCAGTGTCAGGCCTGATGTTAATCTCTCTGTCCCTGTCCTGTCAGTTCGTTTGCATGGCCAGGGCATACGGCACCCTGATGATTGTATGACTGAATTGTTACCCCTGTGCCGGCGGTGACAAGATGCTTCACACGAGGGTTTTGCCACTGACCCCATGTCGAGACATCCCTTCCAGTCTCCTACTGTGACCAAGGTTGGAGTCCCAACAGGGTCCTAGGGCATCTGCCGGAAGCCTTGGGCTCAGTCCTTGTTACCCCAGGAAAAAGTCCTCGTCAGATTACATTCACAGGCTGAGGCTGGGAAAGACACACGTGCCGAGGTAGATGCACCTGCCCAGCGCATACACATGTGGACCTGCCCAGGTACACACACCTGCCCAGGTAGGCTTGTCTACCTAGGTGGGCGCACATGTGGACCTACCCAGGTACACACACCTGCCCAGGTAGGCTTGTCTACCTAGGTGGGCGCACATGTGGACCTGCCCAGGTACACACAACTGTACAGATAAACGCACCTGGATAAAAATTTAAAGGGCTTTTAAAAAGACCAATCAGTAAGCAGGTGCTTAATACCAACCCTTGCAAATCACCTTGGGGGTGAGTGAAATAATATTGGTGCAAGTAGTGAATGACTTCCACCGACACTTTGCAGACAGCACACGCATTCATGTGTCTGTTTCCCGGTAGATGCTATTGGGCAAAAAGTTGAGCGTTCCTCGTGTCTGTGAGTGTAGTGCTTGTATAGCATCTACATAATCCACCGCCTGTCCCTGTGTTGTGGTGTTCAACCTGTGTTTTCCCTCATTTTTCAGTTTTCCCTCAGCAGCCCGACCGTGTGGCTATCGTGACCGGAGGTACTGAAGGCATCGGCTATGCCACGGCAAAGCAGCTGGCGCGTCTGGGCATGCACGTCATCATAGGTGAGGAGTCGGATGCTTGGCTGCATTGTAGATGTCAGATCGCATGCTTGGTTGTCCATTCACATGGGAAAGAAGACAGAAAGCCTGTTTATATATGCCTTTTTACTTCTCAAATGTCTGCAATAGCAAGAGCTGTGGCAGACCTGAAGACCAAGCATGCGAGCTGGTTCTCCCTCTCGGGGACATCTACCCAACGGCTTGAACCGTCATCTCATCTGCATGACGTTCCGTTTCTGGTGAGCAGGGAGAATATCCGCAGATATAGCCCTCCCTGTCCCCTGGGAGACAAAGAGGAAACACTCCCCCATTCTCACACTCCTTGAGCTTTCCTTCCTGCAGAGACTGTGAGTCCCATGTTCATCTTTTGCTATGGGTTGATACTTTTGTAAAGATTTATTTTATTTGTTTATTGCAAAGTCAGATATACAGAGAGGAGGAGAGACAGAGAGGAAGATCTTCCGTCTAGTAATTCACTTCCCAAGTGACCGGAATGGCCGGTATTGCGCCGACCCGAAGCCAGGAGCCAGGAGCCTGGTGCAGGGTCCCAAGGCTTTGGGCTGTCCTTGACTGCTTTCCCAGGCCACAAGCAGGGAGCTGGATGGGAAGTGGGGCTGCCAGGATTAGAACCGGAGCCCATATGGAATCCTGGCACATTTAAGGTGAGGACTTTAGCTGCTAGACCACCACACAGGACCTGGGTTGATACCTTTAACCTTGCAAGCCAAATGCAGTCATTCCTGGACACCAGTCTTCTGTGCTTGACTTTGAGGATATTTGCACACATCCCAGAGAGTCGCAACAGTCATTTTGTTTTTATTTAGTCTGATAGTTGGGCTCCATGTCGTGGGATGAAAAGTGATTGTTGGACAGTGAGTACGGTTTTGCATTAAATGCAGAATCAGAAACTAGTGTATTCAACTTGGAATTTCTTTTTCTTAATGTTATCCGTATTTAAGGGATCATCAATAACTTGCCGATGCATTTTGTTTATAACTTGGGTCTGACTCAGCAACTTCTATATTGCTAGGAATCCACCAGCGATTCATTTTTAGCTTATGTTCCGTTACCTTCTGATTGTTTCCCATTTTTCTTTTGTTGGCAGCTCATTCTTCTTCCATCTTGCTGTTATTTAAGCTGGAGGCCAGGGATCAGTAAACTTGGTAGGTCATGAGCTAGATCAGTATTTCCACAGTTTCTCTGCTGCTGATGAAGTGTCTTCTTCCTGTGGGAAAATCAGTTAGAGACAGTACTTAAAAGGAGGTGTGTGGCTAAGTTCTGACAGAGTTTCTTGGACAATAACAACTTGTATGCCCTATTGGACTTCACTCTCTTATTGCTTTTTAGGAAGTGAAATTACTTTACTTCTTTCACGTTTCAAGTCTTGCCGGGATGGTTCTGTCCATGGGACCAGAACCAGTGAATTCCTAGCTATCTCCATTGCCATTTGCCACCGCTGTGCTGAGGCGGGCTTTGGGTGTAGTGGTTAAGACCTTGCTTGAGACACTTACATCCCATGTGGAGTGCCTGGGTTAGAGTCCTGAATTAACTTCCGGTTCCAGCTTTGTGCCTATTCTGGGAGGCACCAGGGGACGGCCCAAGTACTTGAGCTCCTGCCACCCACGTGGGAGACCTAGATGGAGTTCCTGGCTCCTGGCTTTAGCGTTGCACACCCCACCATGTTGGCGTTATTTGGGTCTGCAAAGCAGAGTGTGGGGGCTTTCTCTGCCTTTCCAATACCCAGAGAAATCTCTGAACACCTAGTGGCAGCTGCCTGAATTGGCCTCTGTTCCATCCATCTGTTGGATCAGCCTGAGTGGCTCTGACCTTGCTGGTAATCATATATTTTTCTTTCTCCTCTTAGCTGGGAACAATGATAGCAAGGCCCGGGACGTTGTCCGAAGGATTCAAGAAGCAACCTTGAACGACAAAGGTAGTGGTGATGGGGCTATGGCTGACATTGTGGTTATCACGGAGGGTCTCGGTTCTTCCCAAGAACACTGGCTGGGGATGAGGTGCAAGGACGAAAAATGCCATGGGCTGATTGGCATTGGGAAGAGCTTTCTGTGTGTGCTTCCTGTAGTTTTGGAGACTGTCAGACGCCTTGGCGGAACAAGAAGTGAGAGCATAACAGGAAATGACATCACAAATGCTGGGATAGGATCATGCAACTTTGTCATTTTGTGGGGTAGGCACTGGGATTGCATCCGTCGCCAGCTGTGCAACTTCACCTGTCTTGATTCCTTGGGCTCAAGCCAGCTGTTATGTCCACATTGGGATTTCTCTGGAGTTCAGATTAACCCAGCAGGAATAAGCTTGACCTCAGTCCTTTCAGTCTGCTTCCAGGACAAATTGCATGTCATTTGGCTTGTGCAGTTTGAGGAAGAAATGCCTATTCCTGTACATAATTTGAGATTCCAA